CTATTTAATTAAGTGAATGTATGATTGGTAGTCTTACTGGATATATGGGAGATTGTGTACAGACCAAGTACATAGGGAACCCTACCGTGAACGTTGCTCATACCAGATGAGGTATTGAGGATTGGTAATTTAACGCTCATACCGGACAGAGTATGAGAACGGTCCATTTCACTCTCATACCGTACGGGGTATGGGGACGACCTGTTAGTTGAAAATGTTAAAAAATGGTTCACGCATAGTGAAGATATCCCTATGGATTCTCATGGATACCAGTAGGCTGATAAATGAGAAAGTTGTTATTCCGACTGATTAAATATGAAATTATGATATTATTTATGTTATTGACTTTATAGATTAGTTTTGGAAATCTCATTATGGTAAGCATGTGGTACATGATTTTATATATGATAAATGAATTTTATTTAAATTAAGAGCTCCATTAGTTATTTTTATAATTTATACCAACCTTCATTTATGTGTCGGTGAGTAGTGTGATATTCTTACTAGGCTAATGTACCTTACTATTTCATTAATAATTTCAAATCAATAGGATCAAGATCCAGAATCAAATACACAAGAGAGTTGAGAGTATGACGTTCAGTTTATTTATTTTTCATTTATTTATTTGATTATTAAAATTTCTTTTAGAATGGTCATTTTACGTAACCCTATTAAGTATTTTGAATTATTGTATAAGAAATATAAACCCTAATTTATTGTTTCGCTTCCGTATTCAATTCATAATTTATTTTCTTTCAAGTTCACAGGTCGTTTCAATTTAAGATATTTTAGAATATTTTGGTTGGTTGGAAGAACAAAAAACAATTAAAATTTCAACATATAAATATATATATATATATATGTGAAATGATTTATACATGATGAGTTAGTTATCTTCAACTACATACTCAAAATTTTAATATGGTGAAATATTTTGTGCACCAATAACATGACCACTTCATTGCCCAAGTTGATGTCACATGGTTTTTTACTGATCTTGGTCGCATTTTAAATTATTCATAACGTATTAAATTGAGTTTGTGTTCGGGATAAAGATTGATCCATTTTCGTAATGTAACTTTCTGGTCATCTAAATATATTATGTTTATGTTAAAAAAATATATGTATTTTATTTAATTTTTTAAAAGTATTTTTATATAAAAACGATTAATTTGGCAAACAAATTTAAATTAAAAAATACAAAAAGATAATAATAGTAAAAAGTTAATAATTAAAATTATAATAATAAATAATCAAACTACAAATTAAAAAAATTATATAAATCAAATTATAAGTGGATACAATTGTAGAGGTAAAAATATAATTGTTTGTATAAGAATAATATACTCTTATATTATTCACATATATATTTTTTTATTATAACCAAATCCAATATCATTTAAAAAATCTTAAAAGTTATTTAGGTAGTAATGATTTGGTGGAACTTATAAATGACATAATATAATGAATTTGAACGTAAACCATCCGTGCAAGTGCCGGGATGAGAGCTGCGCTCTGTCTCGTATAGAAGACAAAGCCAAGACGACTCTCATCTCTGTCCTCGGTTGTCGTGTCTGGTTGTTGATGCTTCTGGTTCATTATAAAGCTCTGCCGTTCCCATGGTTGTCGTGCTCAGAAGCACGACGGTTGCTGATCATCAACTCGGGTGAGAGGCAGGTAACATCCTGTTATAATCTTCAAAGTATTCAATTTGCATGGCCCGTCATCTCTGCTAAAATTTTCCGCCGAAAGAAAATTCATTTTCTCTTTCTCCTGGGAAATTTCTGCTCGATTTTTTATGTTGACGAAGCTTCTGGGTCTGGGTCGTCGTCTTCGTCTTGTCAGTCCTTTTTTCTTCCATTTTCCAATGCAGATTTCGAAATCAATCCCGTCAGCGAATCAAATTATTTCATTGCATTGTCCGTATAAAACGAAATCATTTTAGAAACCCTTAAATAATTTCCCAGAACAAGATAAATTTAGTAGATGAGCACAAGAATTCAATGGATACGTTTTGTTTCGCTTATTTTCTTCCATATTTACTCTGCTTTTATGGTTTTCACGTATTTTTCTAACTATACGACGTTTATATAAACAATGAAGGAGAAGTTGATTTGATAATTACAGCTATCCCGTCTAACCGCCATTTATTATGTTTTGTTTCGTACTACAATCTCCATTCTACCCTTTTTTGGTTTCTCCCTCTGCATCTGTACTTACGTATGTAGGTTCAGCTATATATAGAAATACGTATATCTCTGAATATCTCTGTTTCATGCTTTGGGGTTTGAGCTTTGTCCATGGCAGTGATCTTCCGTTTTTGGTCAAAGAGTTCTGTTCTTGCTCTGTTCATGGCTGTGAATTGCAGACTGTTTGCTTTTCCAGGGATTGAAAGAGAGAGAGAGAGAGAGGGGGGGCAGAGAGAGAGTTAAACGACTGAAATTTTTGTCGTTTTGTTGAAAAATGGCGTCTGGTTCATGGATCTCATCTCTCTCATGTTCAAGCTCTGTGATTCATCAATCAGGAGAAGACAACAACTCTGTTTCAGTAATATTTCAATGGCTGAGATTCACTTTCTTCTCTCCATGTCCTCAACGAGCTTTGTTGACCGCCATTAACCTCCTCTTCTTGTTAGCTCTCCTGGTTTTTGCACTTCCAAAGGTCTTTTTGAGATTCAAAACCAGCAGCCGCCGCCATTGGGGCAGCTCTCACGAGACCAGTAAACCTCTCATAGCGAACAGTACAAACAACAGAGCCACTCTCCGGACCACTTTATGGTTTAAGCTTTCTCTTGTTTCTACTGTTATTTTGTCATTTTGTTACACCGTGACGTGCGTTCTAGCTTTTATCAGGAACACCCAGGTCCAGCCATGGAAGCTTGTTGATGCTCTGTTTTGGCTAGTTCAGGCTACAACTCATGTAGCCATTGCTGTATTGGTCATCCATGAGAAGAGATTTGAAGCTGTAAAACACCCTTTTACGCTCAGGATTTACTGGGTCTTGAATCTGGTTATTGTCACCTTCTTTGTAATTTCAGGAATCCTTCGTTTGATATATGGTGAAGTGGTTGACCCAAGTTTGACTCTCGACGACGTCGTTTCATTCATCTCTTTCCCGTTTTCAGTTTTTCTTCTTCTCGTCGCCATTAAAGGAACAACTGGGATTCTTCCCAGCAGAGAATCTGAGCCAGAAATGGCTGATGATGAAGAAGACAGAAAATTTTCCGAACCCCTCTTAAACAAATCTAACGTGACCAACTTCGCTTCTGCTAGTATAGTTTCAAAAGCCTTTTGGCTATGGATGAATCCTCTACTGAACAAAGGTTATAAATCATCTTTAAATATGGATGATATCCCTACACTTTCCCCAGATCATAGAGCTGAGAAAATGTCAAAGCTTTTCGAATCAAAATGGCCGAAGCCTCATGAAAATTCCAAGCACCCAGTAAGAACAACATTGTTCCGGTGCTTCTGGAAGGAAATTGCCTTCACTGCATTCCTCGCCATTATACGGCTCTGCGTCATGTATGTTGGTCCTATACTTATACAGAGCTTTGTTGATTATACTTCAGGCAAAAGAAGTTCTCCATATGAAGGATACTACCTCGTACTGACCCTTCTTGTTGCAAAATTTGTGGAGGTCTTGTCGAGTCATCAATTTAACTTTAACTCTCAGAAGCTTGGAATGATGATCAGGTGTACACTTATCACTGCATTGTACAGGAAGGGACTGAACTTGTCTTGTTCCGCTCGCCAGACTCATGGCGTCGGACAGATTGTTAATTACATGGCTGTTGATGCTCAGCAGCTTTCTGATATGATTTTGCAGCTCCATGCTATCTGGCTGATGCCATTGCAGGTCAGTGTGGCCTTGGTTCTCCTCTACAATAACCTCGGAGCTTCGACATTGACAGCGTTGATCGGACTTATTGGTGTTCTTGTCTTCATTATCTTTGGCACCAAGAGGAACAACAGGTTCCAATTCAATGTCATGATGAATCGAGATTCTCGAATGAAGGCTACCAATGAGATGCTGAATTACATGAGGGTGATCAAGTTTCAGGCTTGGGAGGAGCATTTCAACGAGAGAATCAATCGTTTTCGTGATAAGGAATTCGGATGGCTGTCCAAGTTTTTGTACTCCATTGCTGGGAACATTATAGTGATGTGGAGCACACCATTACTGATATCAACTCTCACTTTTGGCACTGCACTTTTTCTGGGAATCCAGCTTGATGCAGGGACTGTCTTCACCACCACAAGCATTTTCAAGATCTTGCAGGAGCCCATTAGGACGTTTCCACAGTCCATGATCTCACTTTCTCAGGCAGTGATATCTTTGGGGAGATTGGATAGTTTTATGATGAGTAAGGAGCTGGTGGGGGAGGATGTAGAAAGGCTACAAGGCTGTGATGGGAGGATTGTCATTGAGATTCAGAATGGGGAATTTAGCTGGGATGATGAAGGTGGAGAAGCAGTTCTCAAAGGCGTGAATTTGTTGGTGAACAAAGGGGAGCTTACTTCGATTGTTGGCACCGTTGGGTCTGGGAAGTCCTCTCTCTTGGCCTCAGTTCTTGGTGAGATGCACAAATTGTCAGGAAAGGTATGGAAAACTTATAAATTTTTGGGCTGCAAATGTTGTAGTCCTCTTATTTTTCTTGTATGTTATATGTATACATACATACATATATATATATATATATTTCATGAGTTATGGTTTGCTTTGATGAATTTCTGGTGTAATGTGTCTTGCACCAAGATGATTGTTGCTTGATGCTTCTCTAACAGGTTAGAGTTTGTGGGACAACTGCCTATGTTGCTCAGACATCATGGATTCAGAATGGAACTGTTGAAGAGAACATCTTATTTGGTTTGCCAATGGATAGGGATAAATACAGGGAAACTCTCAGGGTTTGTAGCTTGGAGAAAGACTTGGAAATGATGGAGTTTGGAGATCAAACTGAAATCGGCGAACGGGGTATCAACCTCAGTGGTGGGCAAAAGCAAAGGGTACAGCTTGCTAGGGCAGTTTATCAAGATTGCGATATCTACCTTCTTGATGATGTTTTTAGCGCAGTTGATGCTCATACTGGCTCAGACATATTTAAAGTAGCATATTTTCATTTGCTTCCTTGCTGAGTAAGATATGTACTGCTGCCTGAATTCTCTGCCTTCCAATCCAAGAAATGTAGTTTTGATTCTGAATCTATTGAGAATAAGCCATATTGGCCGCTATTACAACAACAAGTGGTAACCAACTTCCCATATGTTGTTTATTGTGCAAATGATGATTGAGATGGCTCATGTCTCTCTATCTCCTTGAGATGATCGTCTTGGGAAGATTATGCTGTCACATTGAAACGAAGTTATCGAGTTACATGTTTGTTACAAATTGCAGCTGAGTGTAATGTGTTGTTTTTTCTGCAGGAATGTGTGAGAGGAGCTCTGAAGACCAAGACAATATTACTAGTCACTCATCAAGTCGATTTCTTACACAATGTTGATAATATCTTGGTAAGTTAGGCCTGCATTTCGTATTACCTCGGTTATACTTTATATCATCTTCATGTTATAGTTTATGTTTGTTCGATATTTTGCTGTAACCCTATCAAATTTTATCTTATTGTATCTTGATTCGTAATGTTCAGGTCATGAGAGATGGGATGATAGTGCAATCAGGAAAATACAATGATTTACTAGATGCTGGGACAGACTTCAGAGCATTGGTAAATGCCCATGAAACATCTATGGAACTTGTTGAAGCTGGCTCTACTATGCCTGGTGGAAATTCCCCGAGAACACCCAAATCCCCTCATGTGATCCGAGACAACGCAGGAGCAAATGGCGAGAGCAAGTCTATAAGCCAATTCACAACCAATAAGAAGGATTCTAAGCTAATCAAAGAAGAGGAGAAGGAAACTGGTAAAGTTAGCTTGCGTGTATATAAATCATACTGCACAGAAGCTTATGGTTGGTGGGGCGTAGCGGCTGTATTGCTTTTATCCTTTACATGGCAAGCTTCTATAATGGCTAGTGATTATTGGCTGGCATATGAAACTTCACAGGAGAATGTGATGTCATTCAACCCTTCCTTGTTCATTAAGGTTTATGGAATCATTGCAGCTGTTTCGATTGTCTTGATAGCAGCAAGATCCTTGTTTGTTACCCTTGTGGGACTCCAAACAGCCCAAATATTCTTCATTCGAATCCTTCGTAGTATATTACATGCTCCCATGTCATTTTTTGATACTACACCTTCTGGAAGAATTCTTAGCCGGGTGAGATTTGTTTACACTTTAGCATCGGGCAGATGCTATAGCTGCTTGATGTTATCAGCCACTAATTTATGAATTGCATCAGAAAAAAAACACTCGGGACTGATGATTTCTTTTACTTGCCTTCTTTTCTTCAGGCCTCGAATGATCAGACCAACGTCGATATCCTCATTCCCTTCGTTATGGGTGTTACTGTCTCCATGTACATTACACTGCTCAGCATTTTTATTATTACATGTCAATATGCTTGGCCAACCGTGTTCTTTCTAATCCCGCTTGGTTGGCTTAACTTCTGGTACAGGGTAGGAGCTCTCAGTACTCTCAGTTTTCCTGTACTATGTATAAGATTATATTTCTGACTCGATTTGTTGGTTCTCATTTTGATGGGAATTGAATTTCCTTTTATTTTGAATTGAGAGTTAAGGCCAATCTTTTATTAATTGATGTTTATTTGTTTTCTCTTGCATCTCAGGGATACTATCTTGCATCATCTCGAGAATTAACACGATTTGATTCGATCACCAAGGCACCGGTTATCCATCATTTCTCAGAAAGTATAGCTGGAGTTATGACAATTCGATCTTTCAGAAAGCAAGAAAAGTTTGTGCAAGAAAATGTTAACCGAGTAAATTCCAATTTGCGTTTGGACTTTCACAATAATGGATCCAACGAGTGGTTGGGTTT